TTCTGTAGCCTTACATTTAAGATGCATTGAGCGCATCTATGGTGACCATGGTCTGGATGTGGCTGACATTTTGCGTAAAAACCCATCTGTTGCATTGCCGGTTATACTGACCCGCTTAAAACAGAAACAGGAGGAGTGGACAAAGTGTCGGTCAGATCTAAACAAAGTTTGGGCCGAAATTTATGCTAAGAACCATTACAAGTCTCTGGATCATCGTAGCTTCTATTTCAAGCAACAAGACTCAAAGAACCTGAGCACAAAAGGTAAGCCTATGGTGGTTGGTTGTTGCTTTTCAATTTTCATGTTTCAGTGTTCCTGTGTACCCTAGTTATTGCCATTTGAAGCTCCACATCTGTTATTTTAATATTGAACTATGGCAACATTTAATGGTATAGGGGAAGATGAAAACTATTCTGTTTGTTACAAATGCCCGTAATCTCTAGTGACTTTCATCCATATCTGTTTCTCTTGGATAATTACTCTCTACACTTGTTTTGCATTTATTTCCTACTTCATTACTTAATTTCATGCCGTTTGTAAGAAACAAAATTTGTTTTCCATCTGTGGTTATATTATTATATTGAATGCTTGCATCTAGGGTTTGACCCAAATGTTACCTAGCCTATATAGTTCTGTGTTTCTGTTATAAAAGTTGTATGTTCAACTTAACCCTTTCAGTTGACTTAGGATTTACATAATAAATGCCACTGCTTTTAAATGTTACAAGTACCAATTGTTTTGTACTAGTCCTCTCTTAGTGAAATTTTGATGATATTACCCAATGATCTTATGAATGTTTTCTATATGCCATCTTCAATTCAATTAGTGTCTGTGTATCTATGAAAATCTAATCTATGTTCTTATCATTTACCAGCCTTGGTTGCGGAAATAAAAGAGATGAAAGAAAAACAGCAGAAAGAAGATGATGTGGTCCATGCTATTGCAGCTGGCAATAGACATCCTATAAGTCCAAACCTTGAATTTGAATATGCTGATCCTGAGATCCATGAAGACTTGTACAAACTCATCAAATATTCATGTGAAGAGGTTTGCTCAACGAAAGAGCAATTAAATAAAGTTATGAGGCTCTGGACCACCTTCCTTGAACCAATGTTGGGAGTTCCATCTCACTTTCATGGTTCAGAGGCCAATGAAAATGATGTTTCCTCTAAGCATCATGTAGTAAAAAGTAACGGGACAAATGGTGGTGAAAGTGATGGAAGTCCTGCTGATGCAGTTATGACAAATTTTAAGCAATCAAAAGTTATCTGTAATGGAGATGCACATGCTTCACCACAACGAATGAATTCGTCTAAGTCCAGTTTCCAAAATTCAGATGCTTTGGCCAAAGATGATGTTTTAGTAGTGGCCAATGAACGGTTAACTAATTCTGATGCCACAGTTCTGGTACATGGACGGTCAATAGTGGAATCCACTTTAGGTATGCATATGTTCAAACTGTAATGCATAGTTGTTACTCATTTGTATTTGGTCTTAAGTTTCTTCATTGTAATTCCCCAAATGAATTATTTTTCATCACCCAGGGCGTTCTGCAAGGCCTGGTAATGGGACCATTGAGGATGGTAATGGAGTCAAGTCTAATATGGATGATATACCATCATCAGAGGTAATGATGCAGATAACTAGCACCTTTGTTGAATGTTGGTTACACTTGCTTAATATATGTCTTTCTCCATGCCAATAGGGTGGTGAGAATTACCGAGCTGCTGCTTTGGCAAATGAAGGATTTGTAGAAGGTTCTAGAATTAATGGATATAATGAGGTTTCTGCTGATCCCTCCAAAAATGAAAAGGAAGAGGGTGAGTTATCACCAAATGGGGATTTTGAAGAGGACAATTTTGTTGGCTATCCAAATGGTGCCTCTCGAGATGGGACCATGCAATACCAAAGTGGTGCTGGCATAGAGACTAGTCGGGATGCTGCTGGTGAAAATGGTGGAGATGCTGATGATGAGGATAGCGATAATGCATCTGTGGCTGGTGATGATGTTTCTGGCAGTGAATCTGCTGCAGACGAGTGCTCAAGAGAAGAGCCTGAAGAAGAGGAAGATGCAGAACAAGATGAAGTTGATGGAAAAACAGAGAGTGAAGGTGAGGCTGAGGGCACAAATGATGCACATTTCGTTGGAGATGGCTCGTCATTGCCCTTAGCCGAACGCTTTTTGCTTGCTTCAAAGCCTTTAACAAAGCATGTGGTGGCTGCACCATGTAAGGGTGCAAAGAAGTGTCTGCATGTCTTTTATGGAAATGACTCGTTTTATGTGCTTTTTAGACTTCACCAAGTAAGAATACATGCTCCAGTTGTCCTTACTTTGTTCCATTTGAGATTATATGGTTGTTCTTTTACTATTTTGTCTCAACCTCCCTCCCTCCTTGTAACAACAAAATGAATTATAAAAATATAAGGGGAATAACAAGGATTTTTATGAAATATCTAAGTGGACTAACCCAAACCTCTGTTCTACTTTACTGTCTTTCCAGATACTGTATGAGAGGCTATTGTTGGCAAAGCTCAACTCATCATCACCTGATTCAAAGTGGAAAACTGGAAAGGAGAACAGTTCTGATCCCTATGCCAGGTGGGTTAGAAGTGCCTAACTTTGTATTCTGTGATTACATGTACAATTTTCTAACTCATATCATGGACCATGCGGATTCCTCTGCAGATTCATGACCTCATTGTACAGTTTGCTTGATGGATCTTCTGAGAATTCAAAGTTTGAGGATGATTGTCGGTCAATAATTGGGAATCACTCATATGTGCTTTTTACTTTAGACAAATTGATATACAAGCTAGTCAAACAGGTACCTTGACCATGCCTTGGATGCAGTTTGCTGTGAATCTGTGATGCTTTCAATTGGACATGAAAATTTATGTTTTTTTTTTCCTCCAGCTTTTAACTGTTTCAAGTGATGAGCTCGACAACAAGCTGCTTCAATTGTACGAATACGAAAGATCTAGGAAACCTGATAACTCTGTTGACTTGGTCTACTATGAAAATTCTCATGTTCTCCTTCATGAGGAGAACATTTATCGTATTGAATCTGTATGTTCTTTAGCTATCTTGCCCCCCAACCCACCACACTCATACACACACCCAACCCAAAAAATGCCCCCCAAGAGAGCTATACTTTTACACTATATTACTAACTGCCTTGGGATACTGACTTATTCTTTCTTTTTGTAGACATCATGCCCAAGTGGATTATCCATCCAATTGATGGATGATGGAAATGAAAAGTCTGAAGTGGTGGCTGTGTCTGTCGACCCCAATTTTGCTGGTTATCTCTATTCTGATTATCTTTCAGTAGAACATGGAAAAAAGGAGTCTTCATCCATTATGCTAAAGAGGTACTTAACTTCGTCTCCCAAGAGATTGTGTAGGAATGCAATATGGCATGCTATAGGATGCATTTGCTTGTCCTTAACCCATTGTAAGATTAGTCAATATTTCATACTATCTCATGCTATTTCCTGCACCATATCAATACAGTATTTAGATGACCTAAATCCAATATAAAGTTATGCAATCCATGATGTGGATTCAGCTTTCATGACTCTTCAGGATGTGACCTATGTTTCTCTACATTCTGATGATACAATAAAGCAAATATGATTGATCATAAAAGGTTTTTCTTTAAACAATCCTACCATAAATTTCGCGTTATTTCAATTATGATGCAAGCCCATATTCCAGTGCATGCACTTTACATGGTCTTATTTGGGTTTTCTTTAAGCATCGTTTCTCTAGTACACTCATTTAATCATTACTTGAGTAGGAGACAAGATTAGGTACTTTGAACTCATTTACCATATATATTTGAACATCTGGCTACTTCAATTTTTTGTGCAGAAGCAAGAGAAAATTTGCCAACCTTGATGAATTAGCTGCTGTGTGCATGGCAATGGAAAATGTAATCATTCTAAATGGGTTGGAATGTAAGATGGCTTCCAATTCATCTAAGGTAAGTGACTTTATTTTATTATTTTAATTTAACGTTGGATTGTATTACATCCTCTTTGAAGAAACATATATATCAAAGAGCATAGAAAGTCTGTTTTCTGATGACAACTGCTTGCAGATCTCGTATGTCCTTGATACAGAGGACGTCTTTATCCGTTGTGGGAGGAAAATGAAGGTATCAGGTGAAAGTTTGTCATCCCATGACCGTGCTAGAGTAGAAAGGTTTCATCGTCTTTTGACATCATCATTATGATACACTGTCCTATAATCAAGGTAACATGACTTGGCGTGATTGTGTTTTACTGATACTACTGTCTTTGAAACCCATCTGTATATATTCAGAGCTTGCTTGATAATTTATGTAGGTAACAATACTTGATACGCGGTTGAAGAAGTTGACCGCGATAGTTGCACAACACCAGAGTTGATTCTCTCAACTGTACCATCTTGTCAGTTCATGGTAATGGCATTTAAGCCATTTTGTATTGTAAATATGGTTTGCTTCATGGTAGATTGTCAATTGTAGAGTCGCGTTCATTTTCCCCGCATCGTTTCTGGGATCTCCGAAAACCCTCCCCCCATTGGATTCTTTCTGTAACTGGTTTTTTCTTCTATTGTAAGCTAGAAGAGTTTTTTCGTTTCTCTAGCAAACGTATTGTTGCTTGCTAGAGTTATGTAAACGAAGTACCCTTTTATTGTTAAAATAGTATAGTGAAAGTTCTTAGATTTATAATTTATTTTATTTTTTTTTATAAGTTTTGTTTCTGGTAAAAATTGTTGATTTCTCTTACACTTTATTACAAGACATTTAATTTGTAATAAACAATTACGGAGTAATAATTAGGCCAACACACCCCTTTTTATTTTTTGGTGGGGAAAGAGAGGCTAGGCCTCACCAACACACCTTTTTAATTGGCCGGCTTAGTATGAACAGAGATTAGTCTAAATATAGTCTACATATAATACGCGCTTAAAAGTGTTTTCTATAATTAGGACTATTCAGGACATTTTGTAATTTGCCACTTTCAAAGAATCCCCCATTATAAATATTATTGGAAGAGAACTAAATACAGATGTAAATATAGGTATATTTAATATACCTACTTTCCTTTTGTATAAACAGACATTAAAAAAATTGGTAAAAAAGGAGAGAAGAAGAAGGTATACATCCTTCTTTGTACTTCTGCATCTTATAGCAAGCCAACAACACAACTTAGATGCAATCTGTTCTCCAATCCCCTTAAATGATGCCCAAGTAACATACACCTGCAATTCAACATAATTTCGTACCTGAGAAAATCGTAAAGCCGAAGCTGAATGGAATCATGTTATGCAAGGATTGCAGGAATGAAGCATACTTACCAGAAAAGTAGCTTTGCCAAGTAATCCCGTGAAGTGCCAACTGTCTGACAATATTCAGTATCGTTCTGTTTAGACTCACAGTCTATCTCTTCTTTGAAAAATCCTTGCAATATGTTTTGAGCAAGTTGGTGAATAACTTCCTCCACTTCAAATGATGACGGTTTAGATAATTCGATTACCTATTTTAGGAAAATATACATAAGGATCCATGCTCAACTGTCCCCAAATTCATTATTGAACATTAACAATCTCATTACCATATCAGGTTCCAAGGAACGTAGGTACTCCAGCAAATCATTGTTACTCCTTTTTCTGTACTCCATTTGCACACTTTCCTGTTTCTGTGCATGCAATTCCTGTTATGCCATACAGGGTTTAGTTTGAAGTACAAAACAGCATAAAACAATATATTCAGAATAAAGGACAAAATAGAAAGCATTAGAACTAATGTATCAAGGCATATGATTGTTGCACTTTGATGATTTATAAATTATAATATATGCCAACATGGATAGTATGTAAGTTCTATCTCAATCCAGAACACTAGTCTAGATGAGCTCAATTGACAATTCTATAATTGCAAAATTTAAATAAACTCCCATGCATATAAGCCAGAATTAGAGCATATAAGACCTTTCAAAGATTTGAGCAATTCAAAACTGGTTTGGTTGGATAATTCATTTAAGTTAAAAATTCATGTAACTACATAAGATCATCTTCTACAACCTGCCATGGACCAAGAGTAAGATTATCACCTGCTTGACTTCAGACAGCTCCATTTCTAATTGATGAATGTAGCTCAAAGCTTCAGGAGACAAACCCCAAAGATTCTGAGAAGTATTAGTCTGTGAAACTTCATGGCACCCATTAGCACTGCTTTGAATTTCCCTAATGCCAACATTCTCAGTCTTTGCAGACAAGTTGTGGCTTTCACCTGCAACCTTTAAGCATTTTGAATAATCCGCCGAAATGTCAAAATTCCTCCTCAGCGCTACTCTGTACTCGGCATTCCACAAAGTATACCTGCCATCATAATTCAACTATAAACATCATATAAGAGCATGTGTATCAATGGAATACACAATTATCAAGTGAACAGGAAACTTTCAGCTATGCATATAGATATGAGAAGCAGAGATATAGGTAAAATCTGAGCATCTCACCCTGTAACTATGGAGGAAACGATTAGGCGATGGAGAGGATGCTTCGAAACCTTAATCGTAACGGAGAACTGATCGGACGGCAGCAAACCTAGCATCGTAGAAATAGTCTGCTTCATAGAGTCCTTGGCGGGATCCGAAACGCCCTTAGAGATAACCGAAGTGTCCAACGGTTCAATTCTCTTCAGCATACTGGCGATGACAGCAAATTCGCGGCTGAATCCGGACTTCCTGGTGGAGACGAAGTCATCGGAGACTCCGCCACCGTCAACGCCGGAGATGAGGCAGCTGATGCTGGAAAACGAGGAAACTCGCCGCCGGTAGGTGGAAATGGAGGGAAGCAACGGCCGGATAAGGAGGTGGTGCGAGAAGGGCGGCAGTTTGGGAGGTTGCGTTCGGTGATAAGAACTCAGTGACAGCTCGGCGAACCGAGATAACAGAATAGCCTGAGATGCAGCAGAAGCCATGAAATGGAGCTTACTTATCCAGCATGGAAGAAACGGCGGCTTCGCTTTCTCTGTGTGGCTTTCGACGCCTCCGGCTCCGGCGAAGCTCTCTCCCACGGCCTCTTTGGATTCTCTCCACGCCCCATCACCAGTCTTTTAAAGATGTTGTTGGTTTCTGAATTTGGCCGGATCTGTGCCCTTGATTTTGCGCATTATTTACGAATTCACCACTCGTTTAACTACCATGAATGCGATGAATACCAGAAAATCTATCACGAGTCGGTTGGGCTTCATAGCCTGCAAGGCTGCAACACGAACATCATCTGGACATGAAAACGATGAATGCCAGAAGATCTGTTACGAGTCCGTTGGGCCTCATAGTCTTCTCCCTACAGTTATGCCATGAACCCGGATTCAAAATACACAATTTACTTACTGAATGTTTACAATTTGAATTGTAAATATTTAGTAGGTATAATTATATCTACTATACAAAATTCAATCATCATATGATTTTTTTATGATGACACATATAAGGATTATATACTAAATACAATCAAATATGGTATACCACATGATGGGAGAATGGACTATGGTCTTAGAGTTCAAAGTCAATTGGACATTTGGAATCGAGGCCCAAGGGTTAATTAGGTTTAGAAGATTGTTGAAACATATAGGCAAGGTTTAAGAGACTTATGTAACATAGGCAAGGTTTAGGGACTTAGAAAGGAATAAAGTTAGGGGTGTGAATTGTTCTTAGGAAAAAAGTTAATGAGGTGAGAGCGCAAAAACTATAAAAATGGGGTATATAGTGCATAAAGGGAAAAGTATGGAATCAAAATGTGGGAAGACAGCGAATTTAAAGTACAAAAAGCTAAAAGACGAAGAAATGAGGACTTAAGTGAAAAACATAAAAGGGGGGAGCAGTGGTGCGCACTTGTCCCTAGGTGCAATTGAATGCCGTTGGGCCTTACTGATAGTTAGCAAGGATGGTTTATCCCGAATGAGGGAAGAGGTGGCAGCACCTCACGCGAGTGCCTAACACCCCACTGCTAGGTGCGGCTAGGCACTGGGATGCACAACTAGGCCTTGCGAGGTGGTGGTGTATACGTGTGGAGTGTGATGGGTGAGCGACAACAATACTAGGTACATGGACGGGTGGGGTGGCAAGCGACATGTGTCAGGCTCTCCAACACATGTTTAGTGATGGTTAACTGGTACATGAAAACCACTCATTCTCCTCTAATCCCAACCTTATTATAAATAGCGGTCTTACAAGTGATTGAGACATTATTACACAGATTTGAAACCTTCTCTCTTCTTCTCCCAAGGGATTGAGACATTATTACACAGATTTTGAAATCTTCTATCTTCTTCCATCAAGTCTTCTTCTCCCAACCTATACTTGTATCTCATCCTCAATCTTTAGCTCAATAATTTAATATTATTTTATTACAAATCGAAAATGATCTACGACTCAATGTCCTATTTATTTAATTATTGTGTTCATTTCTTAACGAGCAAATACCAATTTTCATCCCACGAGTATTAACAAAATGACAATTTTAGTCCACATGTTTAATTCTTACCAAAATTCATCCCACAACTATTGTTTTACTAACAAAGTTAATCACTCCGGTCACCGGAGATGTTAAAACACGCCGGATTTTTTTAAAATAAGGATACTTTTGTCCTTTTATCATTAAGATCAAAATATTTACTAAATTGCCATTATTGCTATTATTAAACTTACCCTAATCCTTAATCCTTCTTCCCTCCCTAATCAACCAGCGAATTGCGACCCCAATTTCTTTCTGCAGCATGTCTATGAACCTTTACACTTAACAATTCGCCAGGAACTACAATTGAAGCAAGGACGAGGATCAGAATTGGGTTTTGAAATTAACCATGAATTGGTAAGCGATGCCTGGGTGAAGTGATCGGTGAACAAGGAAAAAACAAATGAGAAAAAGGATTAGGTCACGCTGATCGAATTGGGATTTTAGGGATATTATTTGGGTTTTTAATTATAGAAAAATGAGAATGAGAAAAAGACAATAATACCCTTATTCTTTTAAAATTCCGGTGTGTTTTAACATCTCCCGTGACCGGAGTGATTAACTTTGGTAGTAAAATAATAGTTGTGGGATGAATTTTGGTAGGAACTAAACATGTGGACTAAAATTGTCATTTTCCTAATACTCATGGGACTAAAATTGGTATTTGCTCTTTCTTAAATATCCAAATTATCCTATTATATGATAGGTATAGTCAAATAAAATCGTCACCATATTATATTCAATACAATTAAATATGAGTATATAATAACACATGGAACTATTAGCACTACAGGAAATTGTGGGTAAATATTCAGTATAGTAGGAATTTTGTAATTTAAAAAAAAAAAAAAAAAAAAAAACGTAGTAACCTTTTGAAATCGTAAGGTGCCTTTAGTCCAAGTTCTAGAAGAATCAAAGTATAAAAGATAATAATTAATTATTTCCAAAAAAAAAATGATAATAATTAGTAATTAATATAAGCTGGTACCTATAAATACAGCAGTCGGGCACGTTTCTTCCATAATTGTTGGTTGCGTTCTTTGACTGAAGTTTTAGCAGCTACTTTTATTCTTCGTCTTCGCCGCCGTCCGCGTATTCCCACATGGCTTCTTCCTCCGTCAACCGATGGATCAGGCCCGAGGTTCGTTGCGATTCCATCTCAGCCATAGCTCTACGTCGTGGTTTTCACATGATGCTATGTTAGATCTGTAATAAACGAAGGTTGAGAATGATATACGCGTTTCGTTTTGCAGGTTTTTCCTCTGTTCGCCTCCGTAGGCGTTGCCGTCGGGATCTGCGGAATGCAGTTGATCCGCAACATCACCACCAATCCTGACGTCAGGTATATCTCTTCTCTCTCAACTCCGTTGGAAAAAACTCAGGCATCATCTTTTTCCCGCGCTTGTTTGTGTGTTGTGTTATCGTATTTGGTCGCTGCGAATTGAAAGATGAATGATAACCTAGGCCTTTAATGTGTAGAAAAGAGAAGATCCAATCGTTGCATATATACCACGTTTTTATAGGGTTATTTTGTTGTATATGATGATTTCTGTATGAACAAAGCCTGTTAGTTAATGTAAGCTTTGAGAAACCTGTTCACAAGTATGCATAGAGTAGAAAATGGGAATAGGGAATCCATGAATTTCTTTAGCTGCTGATTTTGTCTGATGATGATTGTAGAGAATATATATTTGTATAAAGTATTGTGATGGTTGGATTCCTTGAATTGAACAATACCAGTAATATGCAATTCTTAGAACACAACAGTATAGACAAAAATATGTAGGAAGTGGAAATTCCCATTGGAGTATAAAACCTTGAAATCGATTAGCTGTGAAAATCCTAGTTGTTCATGCTCCTATACAAGCCTGTTCCAGACAACCTCAGTTTGTAGGAAAAGTTTATTAAGGAATTAGTCATGCTTTTCTCCCTTGCAATGTTTGGAATCCATACTTCATCATGTATCTAAGAAGATTTTGAAAAGAATGGTCTGTGTATTCTGTGATGGAACAATAAATACTTGGTCATGTGCAAATGCAGTTCTGTTTGATGCTAGGTAATGAGTCATAGTAATCGGCTAATGTATTTGTTATGGTTTTACTTACTTTTACCTGCTGCTGTTGCAATATCTAGGGTGACCAAGGAAAACAGAGCTGCAGGGGTGCTGGACAATTTTGCTGAAGGAGAGAAATATGCCGAGCATGGTCTAAGAAAGTATGTGCGTAACAGGTCACCAGAGATCATGCCATCCATCAATGGATTCTTCACTGACCCAAAATGAAGTTTCTGCTCTGTAGTGCTCAAGATGTCCCAATTGCTTAAACACCATTTTTTACTTTCCATTAGTACTGATTCATATACTTTATAGTGATTGCAAATGCTGAACTTTGGAAAAGTTCACTTTAATTCTTCAAGCAATTGTTTTGAAACTCACAGTTGAATAAGTGCAGAATTATTGAGAAATTGTTATACTTTCAACAGCTTTTGTCTTTCTTTGTTCTTTATCAACTCTCCTCTGCTTAATCTAGAAATGATTAGTTAGGAAGATCATTGATATGAGCTAATGAGCATCCAGATTGCTAATCACACTGCTGATATTGGGCATTAAGTTAAATACATAAAGGGCTATGAATACTCAACTTAAGAAGGGTTATCTGCAAGACTGCAACCATCCCTCATACTGCAATTAATAACTCAAAATTAGTGTGCAAATGCATTGTAACAAGGAGGTTCAGGAGTCCAGGAGCAAATAGACTCAAAAGTGTATTTGAAATGATATATGATAATGGAAATACAGCCAAACAAAATATGAAGATGTCTCATTTTCAACACACCCTGGATTGGGTAAAGTACTTGTCATCAACTCATCACATAACCGATACTAATGAATGGATTGGTTTAAGCCAAACAAAAGGAGCACTGAAACTAAAATTCTTGTCCTGTTGTGATTGAAACTAAGATTCAGTAAAGATGTCTTGGACTGAGATATTAGATAAACTGGATTTCTAGTGGTCATCGGTTGTGACCTGTTGCCACTCTCCATCAACTGCTTCATTCCATAACGTCACATTGTTGTCTCCGGATGCTACAGCTAACAGGTTTCCAGTCAGAGACCATGAGACCCTCCAAACGGGAGTCTTAAAGTCTTGCAAAACCTTCCCCTCCCACTGATCACCTTCTTTTGCCACAGTCCATATGACAACTTTACCGTCCTCTGAAGCACTTGCAATTGTTGATTTTGGAAGCCCCAAATTGGGTGCCCAGGCAACATCCCTCACCCAGTTAGTGTGCATCTGAAGGGCAGGGAAGCAATCCATCTTCCAAACACCGTTATAAAGCTTCCAAACCTTCACGGTATTATCACAGCCACCGGATGCAAGCTTCTGAACAGGATCAAGTGCACCAGAACCAACTAAAGCGCCAGGAGCCATTGATGGAGCCCATGAAACTGCAGTTACTCCAACGGGGTGAGCCTGGTCTATTCTTGTGGTGTCCCAACTACCATCTGATCTGGCAGTGTAAACAGAGATGTTTCCATCAGAGGATCCACATGCCAAGCAAAGCCCAAGTTCATGAGGAGCCCATGAAATAGAATTAACCGAGGATTTGTGATCACTGAAAACATGAGCTTGTGCCCACTCATTTTGATTGCCTTCCTTCCAAATAATGACTTTACCATCATAGGAACAGGAAGCCAGGAGTGAACCAAATTTGGGGTGTGCCCACGAAACCTGCCAAACTGGACCATGATGACCACTCAGAGTAGCAAGGTGCTGTGAAGTAGAGTTGTTGCTCACGCCAATTATTTTGATGGTGGCATCAGATGAAGCTGTTGCAACACGTTTTCCATAGTAATCCATAGACACATCGTGAACTATGTCACTGTGACCAGTTTCAATCTTCTGTGCAGGCATCTTTCCTTGTTGCTACTATGTCCTCCCTGCAATGGTTTATGCATATAAAATCCATATTCTATCATTAATATGTGGCCATTATATTTTGATAAATAATATCAATATGTTTTTTTTAAACCAAGATATGCATATTAAAAAAATTCCACCAACTTCATAGCACCAATTGGCAATGGATACAATGGACTTATTTACCAGCTACTAGGGGTACAAATTAGTCCTAATCAAGAAAACCAAAAGTTTTCAAAAGAAAATACGCCATCATGGACACAGCTATTTTGCACATAGAGGCTTCAACATGTTAACTAAAATTTAAAAATATCATGTTTCTCCTGAGGGAGGACTGATAACACATTGAGGCCATCATTCATTTGCCACACACTCATCTGTCTAAAGAATAGAAATGCTGACAAGCAAATTTCTCTAATCTCTATAATCCAATCAAACATACATTGTATAAAATACAAAAGGGATTACACCTTAAATTTATAAAACTATGGTGCTAAAGTTGCTATATTACCTGGTTGTATAGGAACTAAAATTTTCAATACATGAGGGGAAAAGTGCATAACTTTATGCAAACGCTTAAATTCATAATACATATAACTGTATTCTCTCTGGGATTACACAAAAGCGCATACTGCGAGATCGGTGCATATTTCTTAGCTAAACACTAGAGTTCCTAATAAAAACGACCTAATCTTCATAGCTACACCAATATAACCAAAATAGTAATTCAATTTACCCAAGCATGGTGTAAACTACTGCGATTTCATAGAGGAAATTCAGATGCACAAAGAAATGACTTTCTAAAGTAAATTATTAAATTGAAGATTTCATGAGATCGAAAACTATTTAGCCACCAATTAACCTAAAATCTTCCATGTATTAGTCCTAGGGCTGAAAACTTTCTCCAGATCTTAAGCGAATTGAAGGCTAAGATTGATGAGAGGTTTACCGAACAGAGAAAGTAGCCGGATCGGGAGATCGGACCAGAGAAACCTCGCGGACAGGAACAAAGAGAAACGCTCGCGCCACGGGAACTTGATCGGAGAGTTGAGAATGGAAAGTGTGGTTTGGGTTGGGCTACTAGGCTATGAACTATGAGTCTATATGAAGTCGTCCAAGTCCCACCCAAGGATGTATGTAATACTTTCGAGAGTCAAATAAAACCGCAATAAAAGAATTTCAGAATTTGTCACCGGTATTCCTCTTACAATCGAGGAAAAATATTAAAGTTTTATCATCAAAATTTTTCTATCTCTAACTCATTTACACCAAATTTTATTCATTCACTAATATAATTTATATTCTCATAAATATAATATAAAATATAATTATTATACAAATAACATCCAATACATTTTTAGTTAATATATATCTAATATTAATATTGTCTTATTGCGTTATATTCTGCCAGAGACAAACCCATGACCTGACCCCCATTTAGGAGAGTTATTTCTTGTCACTTGATCATTAATGAGTTACTTCTTGTCACTTGACCACAAAATCATGATATAATTTATTTTTAGTTATACAAATTTTATGTTTAAATATTTAACAAAATATGTAAATATATAAAAATAAAATATGAATATAAAAGGAATTAACAAAAATAAACAAGGGCAAAACAAAAAATAATCTTTCTCTACCAAAACAGCATTTTAATGTCTTCCTTGCAATAAGAGTTTAGAGCCAAAGACTTTACCATAATCAAACATGATAACTTTCCAGTGAGTGCTTATTAAAATTATATTTTAAGTTAACAAAGCCTGTAACTGTTTAAAAGGTACGCTATTAATTAAGCTCGTCTTGTAATCTTAACCAATAAAAAACTATTCATTGTAATTATCAAACCAACTATTCAACTAACTCAGTTGGAGTTGACCCCGAAGTTAACAAAACCAAGTCGTGTAAAAATATAATAGAAGTACATATTTGTCATTCTAATCTCAGAAAACTAGTGACAAGAATCCAGCCAATAAAAAATTCTGAGAAAATGGAAAACATAAATAGGCTCATATAGCTCCTCAAAGGCTTCCAGGATCTCATCCGCAAAATTTTACAGAATGATGTCGTCTTGAACGCTTATGTTGAGTGTCTTGTGTGGAAGAATAATGCTGTTTATAACCACGACCTCATCTTCAACAGCCACGGCTTCCCCTGCACCACCATTCATTGGAAATGTCAAAGATTTTATGTGCATTGAAATGGTGTTTGAATGAAAGATGAAGGCAGAGTAATTAATACCCAGGATTGTAACTCCCAGTTTTGAGTTGTAATCTCCGTCCGCCTGAACCAGTAATGTTAAAAGGGTGAAACCGTGGAAACACTAAATTATATAGGGAAAGTCTACAAGGCAATCAACACGAATACAACCATGTATGCTTTTGGATTGTATCGGATTAGTGGCTAATAAAACCCAAAAGCATACATGGTTGTCAATCCGGTTACAAAATGAAGTGCAAATTTCATTCCCTGCTTGACAACAAATCCCTTACAGCAGTTTCCATAGCTTTTTGTGTAGTCTTTTCATTGAATTCAAAGAAAATGCATTGAATACCATCAAGAGAAAGTGATCTCAAGGATTTCCAGAGCGTAAAAATGTTATGGTGAATTACCTGGACTCGGGACCATTTCCCGATGGATGACTTCCATCCTACAATAGCATACATGACAACTGCATTATCCTGTCATTGCACAACACCGGTTAGCAAAGTCAGGCTATGTGTTTAATACTTCAATATCACCATCACCATCACCATCATCCTTTAAACGTTTCTACCTTGATTTCCACATCATCTAAGATAATGCAATTTATTAGTCTTGCACCAGCTGCTATGCGAACATTTGCTGATATTGATACATTAGGTCCAAGCTGTTCATTTGGAAATCACACATAATGAGAAGAATGTAATGCAAGTTCAATCATATAGAGAGTTGCACCTACAAATGTTTAGACATCTGGCTTGTATATTCTAGTCATAATTACTCTTATAAACATGATTGTTGGTAGTTGGAACAATTATAAGATGGCACCAGAAGAATTGTTTCTCTAAGCACATTAAAAAAATGAGGCAGAGGCAACTGACTCCTGATCTTGAACCAAAGATCCAAAACACCTTACTAAATGAGACTCAGTGCATGATGGGGTCTCTGGTCTCTCTCAATATCTCATTATGGACAGTTTCCAAAATATTCTTAAATACAGAAATAATATAAATTTGAATTACCTTTGCTGTTGGATGTACTTTTGCAGATGGATGAATGTAAACATCACCGACGATTGTGGCATTCTTGGTGCCATCTCCCAAAGCAAGGAGATCAGGTGAGGTGTATCGGAATTGATTAAGATACAAAGCGGAACATTTCAAAGACATGCTGAAAAGTGAAAGATTTATTATGGCAGCCAAAGCTTTGTAATTCAAGAAGCACAAAAATCACACAGAATAACTCTACCCTGGAGTCTTGATCTGTTCCCAGAAGTCTACTGTCTCGTACGTGTACAATTGCTTCTTTCCAGCAAGAGGTGACAAGATATCTTGATCCAACCTAACAAAATCTCTAGGCAGGGACCTACCAGAAAGAAATATATTAAAATTCATTTGAAGGATTGTGTCACAAGTGTAGAATCATCATGCTCTGAAGATTTTATGCAACAACCCAAGTAATAAACTGTTACTACCTCGTTGCCAACTGGAATGCTTCAAAGCTGGGGAAATGGTGTAGAGTAGCTGCAACAGTAATACCCAATTTAAACACCATGCGATACCATTGTTGATTTGTTGCAATTTAAAGTGAATACTGCCTACCACAGACTGGTACAGACACAGGTTCAACTCCAATATGGTGCAAACGAATTTTTATTATTTTGGTCATAAAAGCAAACCTTTATATTATTCAGACTCTCTCTGGGAAGTCATCTTATTTGTAATCAATGTTCAACAAATTTTTTAGTTACATGTATTAGAAATTATTACACATATATGGATAACAGGTTAAATACAATAATTGGCTTCAAACCATACCAAAGAGTTCAATGACCATAAACTGAAAACAATTTTCAATGATCATGCTTTCCTTATAATTTTAATGAGTAAGATTCTTGCACCTGTTTAGATAATGTACTGAATAATAATAATATACTGCTAGAAACCATTTTATAGAAAGCATTATGAAATGCAGCAAACCTCTGTCTTCCCTGTGTCTCGATACATCCTGGATAGCACTAAAAATTTCTGGGGTAAAAACATAAACACCGCAATTGATCAGCTCACTAACCTGCAATTTATGTTGTAAGGGACCATAAGGAATTACATGCATCCAATAAGGAGGTAAAAAAATGCTTTTATGAAATAATTTTACTTGTAATAATACATACAAATGTCTCAGGCTTCTCCGTATAATGCAAAAGTTCATTGGTAACTGGATCAGCAACCAACTCACCAAACTGGTTCGCAGATTCAGCGGAGACCTAAAAATAAGAAAATATGATGGCGGTCAAAAGTGAAGAAAATTTTGCTCATTTTGATGTTTGCAATTAGAATATATTGATTACCAGAATAACTTTACCTTACTAATCAGTAATGTACCCATCCCACCATACCGTATATGGGCATCTGCACAGAAAAGAGAATTCATACTTAATAGGAGTATCTTATAGAAAAAGACATGGGTTTAGAAATAATAAGTGAATTTACTAAGGGGTTTTGCTTTGAAGAAAGTTAAAAACAGAAAACTTATAATTTAAAATTGATATTGATAACATTAATCACAAAGCAATTTTTAGCCTACCAAGCATGTCCGGCAGTGGAAAATTGCAGCATACATCACAGTTCAGCAAAAATATATGTGACTGTCATTTAGAGAACGAAATTAGGAACATTGCAAATCTGTAAGAAATATAAGAGAAAAAGATGATGCAATGCTCCATACAGAGTAAGAGGGAGAGAAAAAAGGGGGGAAAAGATTCACAGGGGTAATTGCTTCTTGGGAGCTCATAGAGGCTGGGTGTTAAAACTAATACAATTTTGCTAGAAGAGCATCTATATTTCTAGAAACTTACTGGGGAATCTTCCATAATCAGATCTCTAAAGTAATAAAGACCTCCAGCAGAACCATGAGGCTTTTCCTCTTTCAAGTATCTAACAAGGCAGACATTAAAGATTCACATTCAGAACCAATACTATATATTGCATCTGAAATCGCCAAGAGGAATAAAGAAACACAAAAACATAGAACAAAGATTGAACCAGTGACCTAGTCACCTGACAGGAACTTTGAGCTCAGTTGATATTGAAGATACATAGAGTGCAAATTCCCGTTCCTCATAAAATCCAATGAGAAAAACCTCTGCCAAGTTGGGTATCTACTGACATAAGACAAACATCCTCAATCACACTTGGGAACATACAAAAATCAACTTTTCTTCATTTAATATATAAGTTGGGTACTTTGGTATCTAGTGACATAAGAGAAACATCCTCAATCACAATTGTGAACATAAAAAAAATCAGTCTTTTCATCATTTAATATGTCTCCCTGAGGAAGACTCAAACTTGTGACCTAGTAGTTACAGACTCTTATATGAGCCTTCACCCCTAGTTTAACAAACACTTGTTGGCCAAAAATCAAAAGACAAGAATATACACACTGGAAAATAAAAGTGCATGTTTTTGGATCTTTCAAATAAGCTGTTTTCCAATACACTTTAACATTGCTTTTGTACCCTGACATCAGTATTCGGTAATCACATTGAACTCCAACTAATTCAAAATTGGGAGGTAATGTCAGGGAGCTCTCCCAATGCTTATTGCCTCAAATTCAAGACCTTACCTAATAAACAAAACTCCTTACCCTTTGGTTATAATTTTTGGCAATTTAGTGACACTTAAAAATTTTCAAATATCTACATACATTTTAAGAATTTTAATTTAACCTGCAACTTTCATGAACTTTACTCTTTCAATGTAATTGCAATTACAATTCATCTTCAACCAAACTTATTCGAAACCTTTTAAACACATTATATTAATAAAAAATAAAAAATAAAAAATAAAAAAAAAATCTATCATCAAAATATAGAACCTTCTGACTTCTGAGAATTTTCCAACGAAACAAACGTGAGCTTAAAGCGTACCCTTCTACAGGCAGAAATAGGATGATGAACCATAGGCTGCCCAGCTAAAGGAAACAGTGGTTTTGGAGTGTTGAAAGACAGCGGCCTGAATCGCGTACCTAAGAATTTCCATCACGAAACAAACAATTAACCTAGTAACAATGAAATTCGCAGAGGAGTTTCTATGAGGATTGCATCGCAAGCCGTAGACAGTTTCCTTATACCTTTTGTTGGTCCGCCCACCATGATCACAGCAACCACCTTCTCCTTAGAGCTCGCCGCCATCTGGTTTTCCCGACGACGACGACGACGAAGTTGGCCCGCAGAAGGTGGAGTGAAACCGCCGCCGTAAGGAAGTTGCAATTCTAACAGTTCACCGCTCGGGTGGAAATCGGCATGTACGGAATGGCAGTAAACGACAGCTGGAAGTGTCGTATCGACTTGAGAAGATGAATATGGTCCGATTGGATGACCTGACCTGACCTGACCCGACTGACAGAAATTTGGCAGCTATCTGTTCTTAGACTTTTTAATGGGCCGACTAATTTGCGCATAAAAAATGTTTAATTTTGAAGCTCATCTCACATACTATGCTTGATGGATACTCCCCGAGTAGGGTACTCAATTAGGAGTATAATTTAGTGACGGGAGTTTACAATTTGACTATTTTCTTAGAAAGTGGGAGAAATTTAGTAGGTAAATCTAACAATACTTTTAAAGGGTGTTTGGTTCAAGTTATATAATATAACTAAGAAATGTGAGCTTTGAAATGTTACATTCCCATGTTTGGTTCATGTCAATTTACTTTCTTAAAGAGATGCAACTTTCCCCAAAGAATGTAATATACCTTCCACATAGAATTTTTAAGGGAATGTGATTCCCTTGCAAATCTTATGTAATCTAACATTCACATGCACATTTGCTATTTTGCCATTTTAATTATAATTATTATGAAATATATATTTTATGTTAGATTATTATACATATCATATTTAATTATTTTTGTAATTATATATTTTATTTTATTTCTTATTATGTCACGTTAAATTATAAAGTAATTTTGTTTTTCAAGTTCAAGCTCTTAGTTATTCATTTTTAAATTATGCACCTATATTTGTTACCATTGCCTTATTTAATTAATTTATTTTAATTTTGAAGCTAGTTTATTGAAATACATAAAAATATGTTAAGAATATTAAAGTAAACAAAAAAAAATAGTATAACATAAAAGATAATCCCTAAATCAAACACATAAATCTAGCATTCCCAGCAATCTAACATTCCCTAAGGTAATCTAACATTCATGAACCAAACGACCCCATATCTGGTTTGCTACATAAGCAAAGGTAAATATATATATATATATATATATATATATATATATATATATATATATATATATATATATATATATATATATATATATATATTAATTAATTAGTTTTAAAACAAATTAAATTAAAAAAAAAAATCACCGGTTCCGATCCCCGCCTCTGACACCGCCGCATGGAAATTCACCAGTTCCAATTCCTCGCATGAGGCTCTGACGCTATCGCTCGAGGGCGGATTGTACGTGTTCAAGAACAAAGCTACTCTTCCTCTGATCTATCCGCCCTGTTTTCTATTATGTATTCATCTGAAATGTGTTAAACAAAACTAGCTGTACAGCCCCATGCGAATCATCATCAACTTTTCTTCCATTCTTTCTTTGCGCTTCTGCATATCCTCCTCCTCCTTCTCCATCAATCTGTTGCCCCTTGTGCTTTACCGCCTTTGGGTGCAAATAATGGTGCAGAGGGGGCTTAGAATCTCTCTCTCTCTCTCTCTTATGCAGAAGCACAAAGAAAGAATGGAAGAAAAGTCAATGATGATTCGCAGGAGGCTGTACAGATAGATTTGTTTAACACATTTCAGAGAAACACATAACATAAAACAGGACGGATAGATCGGAGGAAGAGTAGCTTTGTTCTTGAACACGTACAATCCGCCCTCGAGCGATAGCGTCAGAGCCTCAGAGGCGAGGAATTGGAACCGGTGAATTTCCATGCGGCGGCGTCAGAGACGACAATCAGAACCAATGATTTTTTTAAAAAATTTTAATTGTTTTAAAATAAATTTTGAATTTTGTTTTTCACCTTTGCTTGTGTAGCGAACCAGATATTAGGATCTATCTTTCTTTTATGATTTACAAATTAGCGTAGATCGAATCTCTAATGATAACCATGGATTTCCTCCCTCATCCAAAAGAAAAGGAGTTTAATTTAGTAATTTATATCATTTTTAAATAGTATATTATTTTATCTCATAATGTTCACCTCAGATGGTAAAAGTTACAAAGAAATGTAGTTTTACTTCTTTAAAAAAATCTAGCTCCAAAAAGGAGTGCACTCCTGAATATTGATTATTAATTTTTTCCGTAAATTAATATTTCAAATGTTAAATTTTGAATGAGTTGAGTGATTAGTATTTAAACTTGATTGTAGTATTGGACCCCATTACATCCCTATGTCCCATCAACATAAAATAAATTTATTTTATTTTATGTTTTATTGATTTTGAAATTTTGTAAAAATTGGCATGCCAAGATCAACTTCATAATTATCTGAGTAATGATACTTTCATATTTAAAATTTTCATTTGATATGATGTTTATGCAGGAATAAATACCCAACTTCACATCATGGCATATGTTCAATTTAGAACATGACCATCAGCACAGAATAGGAGGATATTGTAATAGTAAAGCTGACAAATTGAAGAGAGAAATGAGGTGAGAGAAAAATGGAGTTCATCTGCAATGAAGGGTTCATAACAATAACATCTGCAAAAGCAATAATTCACGTTACGTTGTGCGCGTTTCACGCACAGCAACTACCCACTGCATGCGCACTGGTGGCGCGCCTGACAAAGTGTTTAAATATTTTTTTTTTAACAAAAATCAGTTTTGGTTTTTTTTTTCTTCTTCTTTTTTCTCTCCCTTTCCATCTTCTCTTTCATAATCACACTTACAAAAATCCCTCAATAACCGCACCGGAGATTAACTATTGTGGGTGCTCTTAGAAGAATTTAGTGTATTGGACAACCCCAAGATCTCGTAGTTGGAATCTTATCGGGTTAACTTAGTCGATTTGTTAGGCAAACAATCTCACTATAATACATCTTCAAATAGCGGCCTTCTTGATTTGAGTCCATCAACTACAAATAATCTAAATTGATTTATTTCCTTGTATATAATAGGTCTTCTAAGCTTATAAAATGGATATACTTCATTCATAATACACATTTAGGTAGCAGCTACATGCATGGTACCTCGTAAATCAAAGGATTAGTGCTTATTCATCATTTTTGTTTGAGTTTTATCATCTTTTATCGTTAAATCAAAGCAACGCTATAATCGATTAAAAATTCTCGGGCGTAAGATGCTTAAAAGAAAAATAATGATGTGATGTGCGCTGTGACATGGAGTCATGGAGATTAAAACACAAAGAGAATCCCTTATCCATTTTGTCAAGTCCAATCGTGCGATTTGCAACGGATATATATAGAATCAAATTTTTATTGTCTCACCACATTCCTCAATTATATTAGAGTACACTAAAAGTGTGTTTGGTTTATGGATTTACACACTAAAAACAAAAATTAAAATCATAGTTAGTGTTTGGCTGACAATATTTTTAAAACTAATATAACAATGGAATTTGATTATTCATTCAATTAAAAATTATATTCCCAACTAAAAACTGGTATCACTATATCTGGTAATTTGATTGATGTTTAAGTTTTGATTAGTGTTTTTAGATTTTTGTTTTGATTTTTTTTTTTGTTCATATTGATGCTTTGGATGTCATTATATTAGGATTAATTGTATTTTTTGTTTTCGTATTTTTAAAAAGGGTCATATATAACCTGATTAATAAGAACAAGAAATAATAATAATGGTAGAAAAGTAAAGAAGACAAGATTTACGTGGTTCGGCAATGTGCCTACATCCACGGGAGTGAAACAATTCTCTTATTCATAGTAATGATGATAGTGGTGACACAACCCCTTGGGGATAAAACCAATATATTTATAGGCATCTAATCCCCGGTCTACCCGTTTCACTCCTACTCCTAGTATGAGACAAACTCATATTCCTAATCCATATATGAGACAAACGCATATTCCTAATCCATATATGAGACAAACTCAACATAACCAAACATCAATATCGATAATCATTTCAATTTCATCATGCTACCAAACATACAAAATACTTTCACCAAAACTCATTACCATTACAAAGTATTTGATTCACATTCCGATTCCGATTCACATGTTCGAACCAAACACACCCTAATTTTGTCCGCACTGATTCCTGAATAATACTGCAAAGGGTAACAAAGCACTCCCTCACAAATTTTAAGGTAGTTGTATTTAAAACATTACTTCATGGTCTTTAAAATAGTTGTATTTAAAACATTTCTTCATTGTCTTTAAAATAGTTGTATTTCTCAAACTCAAGATCTCTAGAGCTGGAAGAAACTTACATCATTTCATCTACACATTATTGATAAGAATCAAAGCTTTTGTAGGTTGGCTAGAATTCAAAAGAAGATTAGACGTCCATATTTGGATGTAACGAAACTAAAAGCCATATTTTCTTGGTGGAATCGGAATCAAAAGCCAAAACTATTGCCTTTGTACCAAACACCACTTGTTAGTGCCATTAGTGCTGTATGTTGGATAATGTTATGCGGCTTTACGTTTGGATATTTGGAGAGTAAATTTTAGAAGAATATGAATGTAGTATACGTGTTAAGATTGTAACATATATAATTCTTCCCTGAAGATTATAACATATATAATTATCCTCATGCACAGCGCATCTTAGTTGATTTTGCTTTTGAGTGAAATATTCACAATTCTTAAGAGCAATATATAACTTATTCCGAAAGATGGAACATAATTACACGAAATTAGAAGTAGAAAATCTCAGTTTAGTTAATTGTTGGAAATTGACATTCAAGAATGTGGTTTAACTTTAAGTGTTGCTTTAAGGCTTGTCCCACATTGGTTTCCTAGAAGGAAATTTCCCACCTTTTAATACCACCCCAAAAAGGTTCTTTGAAATGTTTTCAAGAGAGAGGAAAGGGGAAGTCTCGTGTGCCGCTATCGCCCGTGTCGTGCGCGACGCGGTGTGGTCAAAGTTTTGTTTTGCTGTCCGACTTTTTCGCTTGAATTAGTCTACTTTGTCTGATTTTTGCGCTTCAGAAAGTGTCTTGTGGTCAGGAGAAAATCGAGCAGAACAATTCAGCGTAACCTCTCCACTCTTTGCGTTATTCTTTGTGGAGGTCGTGTGGAAGGCCGTTGGTTCGAATTAGTATAAATACCAGGCCTCCCAAACCTCTTTTTACAAGAATAATTCCAGAGCAAAACGTATTCTCTCTGTGCAAAGAATATACGTGAGTTATTCAGTGTTTGCTGGTCGAAAGCAACCGGGTTAAAGACTTGCACAGTCTCGGGCAATTAGCTTTTAAGGCAGTGTATCCACACGTCACAGAAACAAAAATACTCCATTCTCGTTTCTTTAAAAACAGCCTTAAACACATACAAAAACATTCCCCGCACAACAAATATATTATATTATACGTTTACTCAATTGAAATACCTTTTCCAAAAAAAAAAAAAAATCATATAAGATTATCTATTTAAAAAATGACTCTTAACCATAACCACTCACACTTTTGGCATTTGAAACAGTAATGCCGTGACCATGTCTAGATGTCTCTCCTTTCCATTTCGTAACATTTGAATCGTTAAAGTTAGCGTTTCAATCAAAAAAGCATTGTTGGGAAATTAAGTCACAATGACCATTCACGCAACGTGGTACGTTATTTAGGAAAAAGTGTACATCACAGTTAGTAAGTTGTTAATGTAACTACAATTTCTAAATATCAATTTTTGAATGTAAAAGATGAAATTATGGAGATAGAGTTAAATCACAATGGTTCCATACGGTTGCTATCAAGATTTAATTTTGGGTCATTGAGTGCAATCTTTAACACGAAAATTAACTGAATTATCCATGAAGGTGACTAATTGAAATATCAGACGAAATTAATCGCACTAAAAATATCATATGCTATAAATTGGACAAAAAATGTATTGATAAAAACTGAATTGATAATGACCTACGAGAATAATGCTCCGGCCCGTAATATATTAACCATTATATATAAATAAACAATTCTGGTATTGGCGGTATAGCGCATGTGATGACAAAGACGTGAGTTATCTAGGTAGTCAGTCATTTATCTACATGGCAGCTTAGGAGGGTGCATGTCCAGATATTTGATGATGTGTTAATAATCTGCCTAACAACATATCATCACATGATTTTCATAAACCATAACTGAACATATTCCTGAAACCTTTGGCGGCATGCATGAAGACATACATGGTATAATACATACATATGCGTATATATACATTATATACACATATATATTGCTTAATCATGCATGTGTAATTGTGTAAAGACATGTCTATCTTGAAGTGTGGTACTAATGCTTTTTGAATGCTTTAAACGAATGATGATGAATCACCCATTCCACTACAAAAGCCTTTACAAAAGCCACTCCATATATATGCATAATTCACACTAAATGACAGACACATCACACATGTATTAAGGATCGAAAAACGGTACGGTAAGCATTTCTAGACTTTTTGATTTATTCATCAATCAATCATACATATATAGTGGATCGTTACTCTAAATGGAATTTGTTCATACCAGAATGAGATTGATTTTGACATGCTTTGCAGTAGTGTTGCGTAATAAAAGACTAATCTAATAAAGCAGTGGCGTAGGTTTTGTTTGTTTGTTTGTGGAGGGATCAACTGACACTCCAAGATCATCTCATCTATCTTTCGCTAGATAGCTTGGAATTGCTTGGCACAAACAGTGCGTGACTTGAAGATTAATGTTACGTTCCAGACATCATTTGCTTTTCATTAATAAAATGTGTATATAATTGTATGTTTTATTTGATTCACTTTAATTTCCATCTGTAATATAATCAGTTTCTTGCTCTGATCTTCTCTGCAGATTATATACTGTTGTTTCAATTCATGGCTGGAAGACGAGGTTTAGCAAGACTACCTTGTGTAGTTCTCCTCATAGGTAAGGGTTTTGTCCCTTTATTACTCTGGGTCTGATGTGTAAGTTCCAATTCTTCTTCAATTCGGGTGTACCCAGACAGGAATTGTTGTGTTAACTTGAGTTTCACGGTTGTTATGAACCTGAACCCTTAACTACAAATTCAATGAATTCACTTTTATGGCAGTGGTTATTCGAGGCCGGGCATATCATTCCTTTGTTTTCATTGCCTTAATTAGCTAATTGCATGTTTTGTGGGGAGAAAGTAGATGGTTTAATTTTCTTGGCTTTAAGAGTTTTTTGTAATTATTTGTGGTGCAGTGGTTGCTGGGATGGAAAGATTTACTTTTAAAGGGGTGGCCTCCAACATGGTCACTTATCTTACGGAAGTTGTTAAAATGAGCAACTCCGCCGCCGCGAAGATGGTGAATAATTGGTGTGGTTTCACATCTCTGGTGCCGATCGTGGTGGCGCCGGTGGCGGATTCTTACTTGGACCGCTACACCACTATTTTGGGCTCTTCTTTCATCTATGTTCTGGTAAGTGGTAACGGGATGATGAATTAGCTAAGCCCGCCTAACAATTAGCATATACTATAAACTCATATGTTCTTTCTTATTTTTTTAGGGGCTATTGGCTCTGACATCCCAGGCCCTGGGTTGGCCATGGCCGAGAGCTACAAACAACAACGGGATTGGCTCGTCCCTCTTGATGTGGTCTCTGCCGTTGATTTCACTAGGCCTGGGCGGCTTCAACGCATCATTGCAAGCTTTTGGAGCGGATCAGCTCGGAGAAGACGAGGACGACGACTTACCTCGTACCAATGACGATGGTGCCGGGGGCCAGAGCTCCGACATCAAGAGCTCGTTCTTCCAATGGTGGTATTTTGGGATTTGTTGCGGCTGCCTCCTAGGAGTTTCGATCATGTCGTACATTCAAGATACAATCGGCTGGGGATTGGGATTTGCCGTCCCCACCGCCGTAATGCTGGCGGCGATTGCGCTGTTTCTGTGCGGCTCCCGGTTTTACACCGTCAAGAATGCAAGAGATATCAGTATTGCCGCGGCAATCAAAACCACTGTGGCGTCGAAGTTTAAGAATTGTGGCCGACCAAAGGAAAAACCCAACGTTATTGAGTTGCAGTAAGTATCATTTTCTAAACATTTTTTCATAATTACTTTCTCAACTTATTGAAAGTACACTGAAACTCGAATTAACGATCTCCGTCATGTCACTAAATCACAATGTTATTGGCCTATTAGACCGTTCACTAAAATGATGATTTTTGGACCAAACATTTTGTTGAGTTGCCTTATGTATCATACTCTGGACATTTTCCATGATTTCTTACTTTATATACTATCTACTGAAATTAGTAAGTATGATTTTTTTTGGTGACTTCTATTATATTGTACGAGATTAAAATTGTGATTTTCTTTTAATTAATTTATTGAAGAAAGATTATATTCTGATTGGACTAAACATTTTGTTGAGCTGTAGTAAGTACAATATGTGATTTTTTTTTAAAAAGGAATTTATTAAAGAAAAATTAGATTCTGATTGGACTAAACATTTAATTTGTTGATAGGCTTCAAGATCATCAGAACCCACTTTGCGACCAAGATTCCGGTGGGGCTGAAAACCAGGAAAAAGGCATCAATGTGTCAAAAATGGCGAGAGTAGTACTGGGTTTGCTGCCGGTTTGGGCGATGCTTCTAATGTTCGCCGTCATTTTCCAGCAACCGGCGACGTTCTTCACCCGACAAGGCATGACGATGAAGAGAAACATCGGACGATCCAAATTCATGGTCCCGCCGGCGGCGCTTCAGAGCGCAATCACCATCTCCATAATCCTCCTCATGCCGCTCTACGACAGGCTCTTCATCCCCTCCATCCGCGCCTTCACGCGCAACGAGCGCGGCGTGACCGTCACGCAAAGGATGGGCATCGGAATGTTCCTGTCGGTGGTAGCCATGGCGGTCGCCGCGTTCACGGAGAACAAGAGGCTCCAGATCGCCGGCCGGCAGCCTCCGGGACAAGAAACCGTCGCCATGAGCATATTCTGGCTGCTCCCTCAGTACATTCTGTTGGGCGTTTCCGACATATTTACTGTGGTCGGAATGCAAGAATTCTTCTACGATGCAGTTCCGGCGGACATGAAAACCTTGGGCATAGCGCTTAATACTAGCGTGTTCGGCGTTGGAAACTTCTTGGGCTCCTTCATCATATCTCTGATAGAACATTTTACCAGCTCGACCGGAAAACAGCACGGCTGGTTCTCCGACGACATAAGGGAAGGTCGTTTAGATAAGTATTACTGGCTGTTGGCACTGTCAAGCTCGGTAAGCTTGGTAGCCTTCATAATCTTTTGTAAATTCCTAAGGGTTAGATGATAAACATTATATAGTAGGCACTATATATTATGTTTATTAGGTATATATATATATATACACACAAAATTTTGTATAAAAGCCCAAAGGGTAGAGAGCAAAGCACAACAATATAGTAAGCTAACGTAATTTGTCAACTCCCACTAGTAGCTAAATTGATTCATGAGTAAGGTAACTCAGCTGAACACAGAGATTAGATATTTGATGCGCTTATTGTGTAATGTAATGTTTGCAAATTATTATAAATGAGCAAAGTTTATCACCCCCACTTAGCCTATAGACCGACTATCTATTTTTCCCTTTCATCCCCTTTCTCTTGCATTTGTCCCTTCATTCATACACTTTTTCTAGATTAATCTAAATCAAGAACCCCCATCCCCCAATCAAAAAAGAGAAGGAAAAATGTTCGACCCAATCATCAAACTACAAGCAAAAGTTCGTATAATTAGGTCATAAAACTTTTTTTTTTTTTTTTTTTTTTTTATAATTAAGTCCACCAACTATCTAAACTTATGCAATTCAACCAAATTTAATACGATGCTTAAGTCATCGCAGACGTAGCGGTCATCCTATTAAAAATTATTTTTTATTTATTTTAATAATTCTAAATAAAACAAAAAACTCACCCCTATCCGTCTTCGTCTTCGACTTGGAGACGAAGACGGGGAGAGTTTTTTTTTTTTTTTTTTTAAATTATTAAAATAAATTTATTAATAATATTTTTTTAATAAGATAGCTACTACGTCAACGATGATTTCATAAACATCTCGAGTTTTATCGAATTGCATAATTTTAAATAATTAAGAGATTTATTTGTATTTTTTTGAGTTGGATGATAAAATTGTACTAGTGTAGTTAAATGATTAATTTGATTTATTTAAAAAAAAAAAAACAAAAAGGTGAGGGGGTAGGTGTAATTAAATAAAGTGTATTCATATTGTGTGGGGCCAGTGGGCCCTACAAAATAAATGTCTTTACCAAAACAGCATAAGATTTATGAGGACAGCTGGTCAAACCATCGGTAAACGAGTATAAAACCAAGCAAGATTTTACGCATACATGATACATCTCCGCAATCAACCGACAACCTCGTCGTTCCATCTGCTCCAACGAAAGCAAAACCCAAAATGGGCAGCGCCGTCGTCGTGTTTCCTTTCCTCTTCTTCTTGCTATCATCGGTGTTTGTTCAACAATCCGTACACGGCCGCGTTCTGCCTCACTCAACTCCCAGGCCGGCGCCGGACGCCGCCGCCGCCTTCGCCCGGTGGCTGGTGTCTCAGAACTCGTGGGGCGTACTCAGCACACTCGCCACCGACTCCGGAGGAGCGCCGTTCGGAAATGTCGTCTCGTTCAGCGACGGCTTGCCCGACAAAGGCCTCGGAGTTCCGTACTTTTACCTCACAACTCTCGACCTGACCGCCAAGTACGGCCTGAAAGATCCCAGAGTATCGCTTTCGCTGAGTGAATATTCCCTCGGAACCTGCGGCGACAACGATCCCGAGAGCCCCCTCTGCTCCAAAATCACCTTGACCGGAAAGGTAACCTATTTTTAATATATTATACCGGAGTATATTTTTTTTTGAGTATTAATGACCGTTAAAATGCTATATTCATTACTACTTTTTCAATTTATTAAAACATAAAAAATCAATATCATTTCCAGACTCAAACCCACACCCTCTCATATATTATATGCTTATTATTTAATTTTGGTGTTATTTTAGTTCAAATTGGTTGATGGGAAATCGAAGGAAGCTGATTTTGCTCGACTTGCTTTGTTCACTAAGCACCCTGAGATGAAAGGTAAATGCAACACTTCTATCATCACTAATTTTGATTTACGAGGAAGTTTGTACTGGCTATCAAATTCGCATATAAATAATCTAAGTTATTTATAGTGGACGGACACTGACTCAATTAAAAAAATTAATAAATAACTTTTATCAAAATTAAATTTAGAATTCTGTGATTATTAAGTCAATTGTCTCATTAACTTGATCGTGTTTTGATGAATCTGTGTTTAGGTTGGCCTAAGGATCACAATTTCGAGGTTTACACTATGGAGATTGAGGATATATACCTCATCAATTTCTTCGGCGGTCCTAAACCTCTGACTGTAGATGAGTACCTGAAGTGGAAGAGCTCCAGCTTGAAACATTAGTATGCGCTTGTGAGTTGTGACAATGGCCTGATGGTCAGTTCTGTATTGTAATAAAGTCTTCATATGGAGTTCAGTTTTGTTAAAAATCAATACAACAATGCAATTATAAACGGCGTTTATTATGTGGGTCATGGTATTCGCCTTTTTTTTTTTTTTTTTTTGTTGGTAAAAATTCTGTTTAAAAAATAATAATCTCAAATTAGTGTTGAGTCTTTGTTATTTAATTGTTTTCTCAATTTGAGAATGTCAAAAGGTGTAACTAAGAACTTGTACCAGGACTATGTGGTTCAATGGTACTCGGGTTGAACTTCTATTTAGAAGATTGTGTGTTGGAGGCGTTATTAGCTCTTTGTGTTTCAAAAAAGTATATGAACAGATACTACAATGTAATAGAACTAGTTACTAAACTAATTATCAGACTAATTTGTTTAAAGTTGTCCCTAAAAGATGAGAAAGAATTGACCAAGTAATCAAATTTTATAATTTAGCTCGATTCAGAAAATCAAAAGTCAAATTTGATCAAAGGTGTACTCAAACTTAAGGAATCTAAAAAATCAAATTAACTTTAAAAATTGTCTCGATTCAAAAAATCAAAACTCATATTCCATCAAACTTTAATTTTTAAGTTCCAATCGAATCCATCATTCATGTCAATTTGCTAACAACACATCAAATTTCATGTCAATAATCTTATAGTCTAGTGACATAAAATGGTTCTTCTAAATTAAAGGTCATGAGTTCATCCTCATGTTTCAATAGGTTGAGAAAGTATATATGAACAGATATTCCTGTCAAATTTACATCAACCACTTCAAATTTAAGTATCTTTGATTTTTTATTTTTCAAATATTATAAATATAGTTTTTTTTTATGATAATGAGCCATCGTTATATCGTGGACCGCTACACCGCTGTCAAAACGGCGCCGTTTCTTTACTTAAAGAAACGGCGCGCCATTACTGTTAACGGATTGCGCATTTTTTGGTGTGTTAATTACCAATTGAAACTATAGTGCCTCACGTATTATTTTATATATTATCAAGTGAAACTGCAGTTATATCAAAATGATATTGTAATTGTGGTGAAATGAAACTGCAGTTTATATAACATGAAACTGAATAATGTAACATTTTACATATTTGAGTGTATATTGTGCAATGAAGCTGTAGTTGATCATGGAGTTGTGTTTTAATGAAACTATAGTGCATATAAAATAAAATTAAATAACATTTTCACATATTTGAGTGTATAAATGTCGAATGAAACTGTAGTTATATCGAAATGAAACTGTAGAAGTGTTGAACTGAAACTGCAGTGTATACAAAATGAAACTGAATAACAGACTTACTTTTTTGCGGAACGACGCGAAACGGGTGCCGTTTCTTTTCATTAAACAAAGCCACGTCGTTTCCGATAATGAGTTGAGTAATATTCATTTTTAACAATAATGGGAACCTTCGACTACCAACAGATGGACGCTGAATGTGGATGCTACCGTGAAACATGCTACACAGCAAGCCGGGTATGGAGGAGTGCTGAGAAACAATAATGGTGAGTGGGTGACAGGATTCTGTAGTAAATCCAACTACAAGAATGCCACAATTGTTGAAGCCGAAGCAATCAGCAGAGGACTTCATTGAGCATGGAATGGAGGTTTCAAAGACAGTGAGATTCAATCTGATGCGGAAGTAATTGTCAAGTGGATCTCTGTCAACACCCAACTAAGAGGTCCCATATGCGTATACATTGATGAGATTCGTCAGTGGCTCCAAAAAGATTGGAAAGTGAAGATACGTAGCATCCCAAGAGACCAAAACGAAAGTCGGATGCCATTGCTTCTTGGAGTATAGCCATGCATGGAAACTGGAAGGACTTCACAGTTTGCCCGCCCGGAATGGATGAGATAATTGAGAGAGAATACATTCGTGTCTTCTGTTCAGGCAGTGGGAGAAATTAACTTCGCGCTGGTCCCCTTCCCATTTTTCCAAAAAAAAAAAAAAAAAAAAAATCGACCTCTCTCCAGAAAAAAAAAAAAATCGGCCCAATTTTAATGTGAGAAGCCCAAAACTTTGCGGCCTAATATTTGCCGTAATAAGCCCAAAATATCCTCATCATCAACTGGTTCGTGCTAGGAGCACTGGAAAACAAGCAAGTGGCTATGAAGGTTGAGTTTTCAGTAGTTGATGATAATGTCCGTTGACAGTTGCCGGACTGAGAGAAATCCGGCCGGCGAGATAAGTTTATAGTATTCTGTAGAGAAGAACGAATTTAGCTGAGGTGTGAATTGCCTTTGAATGAACAGCGTATTCACACTCCAAATGCTGCATCCTCTCTGCAATTATCGACCCCTGCACCAACCTAGAACCCTCCCAAACCCCTCATCGGAAAGTTTCTTCTCATTCCCATTGCCGACCTCTCAGAGCCCTGTATTGCGCCGCAGAGTCGAGCTCGGCCGTGCCTCCGTTGTTGTATCGGCCGCCGATACGAAAGCTGTTTCTCAATCCGCCATCGAACGAATCGCCGAGAAGCTCCGTAGCCTCGGGTACGTAGAAGACAATGGCCAGAAAGGAAAACGAGAGGAAACGCGACACTTGGAGGTGAATTCTGCTTCTCCTGGTCAAATTTTCGTTCCATTGCCCACTCAATTGCCCAAGTACCGGGTGGGCCATACGCTCGACCCGAGTTGGAGCACGCCCGAGAACCCAGTACCGCAGCCCGGGTCCGGGAATGCTATACAGAGATTCCATGATATGAGGAATGAGTTGCTGAAGGCAAAAGAGGAAGAGAGAGTGAAGAAGAAAGACAAAGCCCCTTCTCTGGCTGAGCTAACAGTGCCTGCCAAGGAGCTGAGTAGGCTGAGAATGATAGGGATTGCGCTGAAGCAGAAGATTAATGTTGGGAAGGCTGGAATTACAGAGGGGATTGTGAATGGCATTCATGAAAGATGGAGGCGGTCTGAGGTGGTGAAGATCAAGTGTAAGGAAATGTGCAGGTTGAACATGAAGAGAACTCATGATATGCTGGAGGTTAGAGCCATACTTTTGAAATGCTTGTTTCATTTCTTTAGCTATATCATATGCTGCGCTGATATATCATTTCTTTAACTAAAGATATACTTTGGATATTTGTATGGCTATATTTGATCATGTACACACTATACAGTACTTCTATGTTAAATCTTTGCTATTTTTTATTCAGCTTGTGATTCCTTTAAAATTTCTCAGAGGCAAACGGGAGGTCTGGTTGTTTGGAGATCTGGAGGTACCATAATATTGTACAGAGGAGCTGATTATAAATATCCTTACTTCCTTTCTGATGATACTTCATCAAATGATGTTTCTATTGATGTACATATGGACTGTGGAGGAGATGATGTAAGGGAGACTAGCTCGGTGGGGATGGATGGTGTTAAATCTGCTGGATTAAATGGAGGTTCTTATCCATCTCTGGTAAAGGGTGTAGGTTCTCCAAATAAAGTAAGATTTGAACTACCTGGTGAGGGAGAACTTGCTGAAGAAGCTGACCGTCTGCTTGAAGGACTTGGTCCACGTTTTACTGATTGGTGGGGATATTATCCATTACCGGTAGATGCCGATCTTTTGCCAGCTGTTGTCCCTGGGTATAGGAGGCCTTTCCGCCTACTTCCATATGGAGTGAAACCTATATTAACAAATGATGAGATGACAACATTAAAGAGACTTGCTCGGCCTCTACGGTGCCATTTTGCTTTAAGTGAGTATCTTCTTCTATGAATCTATGAGTGCTCTTTCACTAGTAAGCACTTTTGTTACATTTGCTCTTGTTTCTGCTGCAGGCAGAAATAGGAAGCTTCAAGGGTTGGCTGCTGCAATCGTGAAGCTTTGGGAGAAATGTGAAATAGCAAAAATTGCTGTAAAAAGAGGAGCACAGAACACCAACAGTGAGCTTATGGCTGAGGAGCTGAAGGTATGTGAGATTGGCTATGTTTCTTATGATGAATGGAATAATTAAATTGGCCACTTTTAGTTGGGTGTATTAGTATTTATCTAGTGGTAAACTTATTCTAAGACATATTGCTTCTGCATATGTTCTTATTAGAGTTTTCTGATATCTTTAATTGAGGACACAATAACATTTTGCAGCTGCTAACAGGAGGAGTCTTGCTAGCTAGGGATAAGGAATTTATTACCCTGTACAGAGGAAAGGATTTCCTGCCTGCTGCAGTTTCCTCGGCAATAGAAGAGCGGAGAAAACAAGCAATTAGAGAAAAACACAGAAAAGATTATAATTCACAGGTGGCTGATGTGAAGGAACTAACTCAATCAAGGGAAGCTGTGCAACCCATTGTGGAATTTGCTTCTGAGGATGAGAATACTGGTAAAAATAACAAGAATGTTGTCCCAGGGAAAAAACAGTTAAATTCAACAGAAGCAGCTATCGAAAGAACTACAAACAAATTAAAAGCTGTATGTAATTACAGTAGTTGTGTGTGCTTACTCTTGTGCATATTATTACCTGCATCTCAAGGAATAAATATTTCAATGTCAGGCACTAGAAAAGAAAGCTAAGGCAGAGAAACTTCTGGAAGATCTGGATAAAGAAGAGATTTCCGAACCACCTGATTTAGATAAGGAAGGTTTAACTGAAGAAGAAAGATATATGCTGCGTAGGGTTGGTTTGAGAATGAAGGCTTTCTTACTCCTAGGTGAGTGCTTCTTCCCTGCATGTTATATTCTTTGTTTGAATCTATTAAAGCAGCTATCCAAGGGGAAGTTCATGTCATCTCTTGTTTCATCCTCAGGTAGACGAGGAGTATTTGATGGAACAGTTGAAAACATGCATCTTCACTGGAAGTATAGAGAATTGGTGAAGATCATAGCTGGGAGGAGGAGCATTGGAGAGGTTCAGCAAATAGCGAGAATGCTAGAGAGAGAGAGTGGTGGAATTTTAGTTGCTATTGAGCAAACCAGTAAGGGTTATGCAATCATTGTTTACCGTGGGAAGAACTATACACGCCCTGCTTCTTTGAGACCTCAGACACTTTTAAGCAAAAAGCAAGCAATGAAGCGTTCTATAGAGGCACAACGTCGTAAGGTAAGTTTAATAGTGCATATATTGAGGGAACAGACATACTGCTTACTTTTGTTTTGATATGTGCAAGGACAAACTTATTAGTTATAAGAAAAAAGGAACACTCAAGATCATCAATGATGCATTCTTCATTCCTTGTTAGTTTTGTGTTAGTTTTTATTTATTCATGTTCTCTTAATAATAGTTTGAGTGAAACAATACTGATTTGTGGGTATTTCTTTTCTTCATTTGGTTTAATGCAGTCGTTGAAACTTCACGTGTTGAAGCTTAACCGGAACATACAAGACTTGAAGCTAAAATTGGTGGGTTCACATGATCTGTCCAGAGGTTTTGATAATTAGAGATTTAGAGTCTTCAGTAACAGCCGATGTAAAATAAACACTTTTGTCTTGATTCAGGTGAAAGATCGGGAAATAAATGATGTCCAACTGAGGGAGTTAAAAGCTGGAGAAGTGAGTGGTGACTAGTTTTTGTTCTTTGGCTTGTAATTAATTGCTAATATGGTTGTGAATCTGATATCTTGGCATCATCAGGCTTGTATTAACAAATCGAAAGACACCATGCACCCTGCTCAACAGGAATTGCAACAAGGCTTATCTATCCAATCTGAGAATAAGGCTGAAGTTGAGTTTGATACTAGTGAACCAGAGAATTGGGACAAATCATCCACTAAGGAAATTAAAATTGTGCTGAATTCAGACGATGGAAGCTGTGCAAAAGACCAGGAAATAAATGATGTCCAACCCAGAGAGTCAAACGTTGGAGAAGTAAGTTATGACTGGTATTTGTTCATTAGTTTCTAATTAATTGTTAATATGGTGGTGAAGCTGATTTTTTCTTGATCTGGATTGTATTGATAAATTGAAAGACACCACACACTCTGTTCTGCAGGAGGAGCTGCAAAGAGATTTCTACGTGCAATCTGAGAACAAAGCTGAAGTTGAGTTTGATACTAGTGAACCACAGCATTGGGACAAATTGTCCGGTAATGAAATTGAAAATATGCCAAATTTGGAAGCAGATGATGGAAGCTCTGGGACTCCATCTAATCCTCATTGTTCTAGGGTAAGTACCAAGAGTTTGTGGCGTGTTTTGCTTATAATCTCTCTCTCTCTTAATATTAATCTTTAGTCTGGTATCTCTCCTGTTGATTTTAGCAGGAGGATCAGATAAGTCCTGAAATCCTCAACAGAACCAGGAAGAGTCTAGATTTTGACATGAAATCGATGGTGCCTCATGTTGGTTCTCTAAAAACAGAGGTAGAACATTACTCCATGGAGAACAGATCCAATGATGTACCTTCGAGAACTGTGCAACTTTCCAACAAAGAAAGGCTTGTTCTTCGCAAACAAGCTCTCAAGACAAAAAAGCGTCCAGTAATTGCTGTAGGTAAGTACCAATATCCTCTTCCAGTGTCACCAAACTTATTGTGCCCTAGATATTAAATTTGTGTTGTACTCGTATAAACTCTGCCTGGAAAAGTAAAAAATCTTGTGGCATAGTTGTTTCGTTCATCTCCTCATCTGTGTTTTCTTCTAGCATCCTTTAAAGCACCGTGATTATTCATGGCATGTAGCTTTTGTGCTTTGTTATTATCTCTAAGGGAGAAGCAACATTGTTACTGGTGTGGCCAAAGTGATCAAGACACACTTTCAGAAGCATCCTCTTGCCATAGTGAACGTTAAAGGCAGAGCAAAGGGTACTTCAGCCAGGGAGGTCGCATACAAACTGGAGGTTTGTGCCCGGAAATTTTATCAGCAATTGATTTCATACAATAGTTTGATGGATAATAATGGTATTTTATTTCATCCTCCTTGTAGCAAGCTACGGGCGCTATCCTCGTTTCTCTAGAACCAAACAAAGTCATATTGTACAGAGGTTGGGGAGCGGAAGGGGAAGCCACTCGTGGCAGCGGTGGAGCTCCTAGAGATTTGAAAACCGGAGAGCAGAAGGTCCGGCCGCCTATTTCCCCTGAGCTTTTATCAGCAATCAGACTCGAGTGTGGCCTGCCATTGAACCAAGAAGAAGCAAAATTACAGTAATTTAAAAATTTTGAAACAACATTGAATATGCGAATTGGTCGTTGAATGAATATATTCATCATTGTAATGAAAATGGTCTGTCAAAGTAGTTAATAATGTTCATTGAGACGGGTGTAATTGTGCAGGTCTCTAGTAAAGTTAGTTTTACTTTTGGTTCGTTGTAGTGGCAATTTTAACTTTTGTAATCAATTTATAATTTTCAAACATTTCATCACATGTGTTTATAAATTATTTCAATTTTAGTATTTTCATCTTTAATTTGTAGATTATGAAAGAGAGGTAAATCGCTATTAGAAAGATATTGGCCCTGTTTGGTAAAATAATTAGTTTTTTAATTAATTTTGATTTTTTTATTATTATTAACTGTTTGACTTGGTTAAAAAATTAATATAAGTATTTAGTTAATTAACTTTTTATTACTTCAAAATGTTAAAATTTAAGAAGATGTTCAAAACAACTTTTCAATTGACTTTTTGAGAAAAGAAATTATACTAAGGGTGTTGCTATTTACACCCCCTTTGACTAAAATGAGGTATAAAGCACATTGAAAATGTAAAAAGGTAGTAAATTATAATAAATATATGGGTGGTGCAAATAGCCTAATGGGTGGTCAAAATGCTATTTGCACCACCCTATTAAATCTACAATTATGAGGTCAAAATTTAATTATTATTAAAAAAAAAAAAAAAAAAAAAAAAACGAAGTAGCACCATAGCCTTCTCCGGTGAGAAGGCAGCCCAGTGGGTCGCCTTCTCGCCGGAGAAGACAACCCATTTGCCTTCTCCGGTGAGAAGGCAGTCCATCGCCTTCTCACCGGAGAAGGTGACGGGGTGAAGGTTTTTTTTTTTTTTTTTTTTTTTTAATTAAAAAAAAAAGGAAAAATAAATAATAATTTTTGACCATATTTAATGCTGGCATTTACACCACCTATAAAGCTATTTGACCTACTAAGTAGGTGGTGCAAATAGTAAAATAGGTGGTGTAAATAGAATAACCCTTATACTAAATAATTATCAGTTAATTCTAGTTATATCTTCTAATTAATTGAATCAACTAACCATTAACAACTATTTACATGTGTGACGGGTTTGACCCGATATTTCAACGTGTGACCCGAGTAGGCGGGTAATGTCATTCTTCTCCGACCCGATATTTCAACGTGTGGCGCCCACGCTTCTGAAGATCATTTTCCATCTGAAATCTGTTTCCTCCAATCCCGATTTTTCCGGTTCGCGGCATCTGAGTGTATTTAATAACTAGAAGTTATGCATTTCAACGAAGACGACTATTGAGCAACTGCAATACTTACCACAGATATTTCTCTGTTCAACTGTGGCGTAAACCCGCCGTTTCTTAGACATTACTTACCGCCATGAGAGCTCTTCAGGCGTCGATTCCCTACAATCTTGGATTTGGCATTCCCTCCCTTGCTGCTACTCCCAGTAGCCGGCCTTCTTACGCTCAGCGCCGCCATGTCGTATTCGCTAAAGGTACTGCTACTACCTACCTGATTCGTTTCTTAATTTATCTTTGTGTTTCAAATACTATGCGTTTATTCCTTCATAGATAAACCTAGCTTTAATCTGAATTTTATACAAAGTTTCCTTTCTTCTTTGAGTATGATGAGGCGGTATCGGACTTGGAATTGGATTTAGGCGATTTATTTCAGTCTAATTCATTAATATTTAACTCAGAATTTCATCGCTAAATCTCTGAGTGAAATATGATTCAGTGTTGGAAAATATTTAACCTGGTATAATAACAATGTCGCACCCGTATTGACAATATACGGGTACTATGAATTTAGGTTGGATAAAACACGGGAATAGAAAAAAGAACATTCTTGCGACGTGTTATAATTAACACTACATTAAAAGCATTTCACGATCAGGGTATCGTGTGCTTTCAACTTGCAAACGCAGAACTTCACAATATGTGTTTTGCTCACACGAAGGGAGAGAGAAGGAGAATAAAATAGATAACTTGATTGAGGTGTATTTATGAATTATGATGATGTTGGGAGCTGCTATTTATAGTAAGCAGCCCCCTCCACCAAAGGCGCTCTCCATATGAAGAGCCCAAGATGCCCTGTCCATAAGGGATGGCAATATGCCCCGTCCCCTTCGGGGATCCCCGGCCCCGTAGGGGATGGGGACGGGGAAGAATTTCGGGGATAGGGGACGGGGATGGGGAATTTTTTAAATTCCCCGGCCGAGACGGGATACCCCGCCCCGTCCTCGAATAATTATTATAACTAAATATATATATATATATATATATATATATATATATTAAATTACACTTGAGTTTAGATTTTGACTAAAAGTTGATCGGGGATGGGGATGGGGACTATTTTAATTCCCCACCGGGTCGGGGTTTTGGAGACACTCCCCGCCCCCGCCCCGCCCCGTCGCCATCCCTATCCATGCCACAACGCTAGCCACACAAATATTCTCCATACTTCATCTTTTAATTAAAATAGGATTAATTCTTTTCGGTTTCATGTGTATGTAGTTGAACGTGAACCATCTGAGCAATCTATTGAGATAATGAGGAAGTTCTCAGAGCAGTACGCTCGGAAGTCTGGAACCTACTTCTGTATGGACAAAGGGGTCACTGCTGTTGTCATTAAGGTTGTCTTCTCTTCTTTTTTCTTACCTACTGTTATATTGGAGTTGTGTATGTGCTCTGTGATGCTTTTAGTTTGGATATTTGATCTTCTATATTTTGAAATTGTATCTTTGCAATGCTTATCAATCCCGGCACCAGTCAAGTTGCTAGAAATATGGAGTTCTGCATTGTTAATTTCTGTCTCAATAATTAAACACGTAGAGCTGTTACTGATATTCTGTAAGTTGACTGTATGGACCTTATATTTACTGGCTGCTTGAATTTCTTTAATGTACACTTCTTGATCTTTCAACATTAACTTTATAGTTCACCACATTTTTTAGACTATAGGTACTTGTATTTCTTGAAGGTATTGGTTTCCCTAAAGATCTCTTGAGAAAACTATAACTACTTTAATTTATGTGAAGTCACGTTTTGAGTTTTTCTGGTAAGGTTTAAAACGCTGTATGGATTTCTCTATGATCTTCACTAATATTCGACATTCCCCTGTATGAAAGTATGCAACTACTTGAATTTCTTAAAGATAGAATCTCCTAAGAACAGGACATGTGACAGATTGCACCTTTGGTCAAAGTAGTGCAATTCAAATGTTCTATTGTAGTCTAATACGTAGTAGTATGCAATTGTGGGCTTTTTAGATTCTCCCTCTCTCTCTCTCTCTCTGATTTGTCTGGAATTTGTGATTGATAGTATTATCTGAAATATAAACAGGGACTGGCCGAACACAAGGATTCATTGGGTGCACCGCTCTGTCCCTGTAGGTAAATGTTCTGCCTGGTATATTTCCTTTCAACAGAATTTTTATGTCTGTTCTGTAGTTGATAATTTTTGCAATGGTCTCTATTACAGGCACTATGATGATAAACCTGCAGAAGCGCAACAGGGTTTCTGGAACTGCCCCTGTGTACCTATGAGAGAGAGGTAGTGTGCCTTAGATTTTAGGTTTAGAAGGCAATATAAGTATGAATAGGCACTTCACTTGATACTGGGTTTCTTTATGCCTAGATTGCGTTCTATAATTCTGTCGTGTCTTTATTTATTGCACTGTTCATACTCAAGATCTAATAATCAACTTTGCTTCAACAGGAAGGAGTGTCACTGCATGCTCTTTCTCACCCCTGATAATGACTTTGCTGGGCAAGATCAGGTAAATATTAGATCTAAGTCTGTTTTGTATGATTACTGATCCATAATTCATGAAACGCTTAATGTGTGATGTCAGTCGAGATTTTGATGTACATACCGCAATTTTTCTTGATGTTATTATACTATATATAATATTGTCATGAATGCCTCACATTGCATTGTAAATCTTACTAGTGCTATATAATATTGTCATGAGTGCCTATTGCTTTGCAGACTATTTCTTTGGAAGAGATCAGAGAAACAACTTCAAATTTGTGATGCTTCATCATCTTGTATTCATTCCTTTAAAATGACCATATGTAGATGTGTATGCTGAGTTGTTAACGACTTTTGTTCATTTCATTGATGTATGTGCTGAAGTTGTTAAACGTACACAGGCACAGAAAGGAAAAGAGCAGTTTTGCTTGTTAACACATCATTATTTTTTTCATTTCTCCAACCCAAGCTTTGTACTATAGCTCTGGAAATCACACTTCTTAACCTTTGGTATGATATGGGATCATTGACAGATTGACTTTTATCTTTCTCTTTTTCATTCTATCCATTATGGGAGGCATTAGATAAAGTATTGTGTTTGGTTTATAGGATAAATGAGAAACTTATTAAGTTTATTTTATGATTATAAATTTGCTAATTATTAATGGATATATTTTAATTCTTTTATTTTTTTTAACTAAAATTTATTTCATTTAACCATGACAAATACAATAGTTACCATGACAAATACAATAGTTAGGAGTCTACTGATGTGACTAACAGTTTGAAGATACCTATTTTCCTGATAACACTTTACCATGGGACCCTAAGAGAGTTTATTCATTGAAAAATGGCTGCAGACTCGTCGTGAGAAATTATGAAGGCGATAATGTGACTTTTAATAATTGATTTGCCCTATGGAAACTCAAGATCCTACCATGGAAAATATTTCTTTGGAAAAAAAGTGATATAATATTTTCTTTGGAAAGATATATGTGATATCTTCTCCACTATTAAAATTTGCTTTGGAAAGTTATAAGTGATATCTTTCCACTATTAAAAATTTACTTATAAAAAAGATTGATGTGGATCCAAATTGTGCCATGTGTGGAATATCTCAAGAGGACACTATGCATGCTTTAGTGTTGTGTGATTATGCAAAAGCCATATGGGACAAATCCAACCTTCCAATCCCTAATATTGTTACAAATATTTTTCATATTTGGTTTTGTGAACTTTTAAATGTTCTAGACTTTAATGAATAATATATGCAGCAGCAATTCTATATCATATTTGGAGAGCACGGAATGGAGCGGTTTGGGACGCTTTTCTTCCCCGACCGAGGAGATTAATTGCGCCAGCCACCGCAGCCATGCGAGCTTGGCGTCGAACCCGACGCACAAACGCCACCCGGTGAGCTTGGCATCGAACCCAACGCACAAACGCCACCCGAGCAGCTTGGTGTGGCCGATACACCGTCACTGTCTCACGGACAGCCGGCTGCCCCAGCTGCTAAGAATGCTGTGCCACCACCGTGGATCTGCCACGTCGAAGCCGGGTTCCTCCACGAGACGGGCAAGGCAACCGCTGGAGCAGTCCTTCTCTATATGAATGGGGGATATGTTGCAGCGTTCAGTACACCCCTTTCGGACTGTTTTTCACCACTTATGGCCGAGGCATTTGCATGCAAGGAGGTTTTGTCATGGTTAAAAGATCGGGGCGAGCGGTACACGGATTGCCTGTCACTCCAGCATTATCTTACTTCACCACCATCTACGGTTCGTTCGTACATCGGCTATGTTATTGATAGCTGCAGAGCAACTATGTCTTTGTTTGATTTTTGTTCTTTTAATTTTATTCCTAGATCAAACAATTATTTAACACATACTTTAGCATTTACCGCTTTCCAGCATCCTACTGCTATGTATTGGGATCTAATCCCTCCTGACATTATTGTAGTTTATTTCTAATGAAATTTTCACTTATTACTTTAAAAAAAATACAATAGTTATTTGTATTTATAAATTGGTTATAAATTGATGGATTTTATTATGATTTAATTAAATGAAACTATAATGAAGTGTTGCACAAATAACACAATTGAGATGCTTATGATATATTAATATATTATTACTCATTTGACGTATGAATTTTGACAATATGAAGTAAAAAATATTTTTAAAAAATTAATTTAACCAATAAATAATAAATAGGTAGATAAAATGGAATAATGGAGTATCACGTATTTGTCACGTTGGCATGGTGGCACCACTATGGTCAATGGCGGGAGAGACCCGCTTGACACGTTGGAAAGTGGCAGCAAAATTTACAAAGCGTTCTACGGTACAGATTTCCTTCGTTTTCCTTCTGTATACCCATTTCCTTGCAAAATGCAATCGCTCTCGTCCTAGGGTTTCTGCAATTTTAGTTCTCAGTTCTCGCCGGAGAAGATTCTGATCTTGATTGGATACTTTCGTCCTCTGAAGCAGTCCGGCAAGGCAGCTCCGCCTGATGTCGAGGACTCGGGTGACAATCACATTGGGCCGCTCTGGTCAAGTACGCCTTTCTCTTTTTCGCTTCTTTTCATTATCAAGTCGGTGTTCTTTCAATTACGAGGTTCTATTAGGGTTTTCCTCCATCACCCTAGCTTGAAGTTCAGCTTATTTATATTTATTTATTTTCGGTTCTTAACTTTATCGTAACTGGAAATGTAGAGAGTGGTAAAACACCCATCGGGTTATGATGGTGCTAGTGGCAGTGGACAGAGATTATCAGGGAGCAAGAGATCACTGGCTGAGCCCTTTGTTAGTAATGCCAATGCTTCTTTGCTAACTAAAAGGTAGCTACAAACTTCAGGGTTTTGTGCCTATTGTTATTATTTATGGAGTTTCTATTATTATGAATTTGTGTTTTAGCAAACTTTGAGCTTGTATGATATTGTTTTACATATGTAACACTGCTTCATTTGTTTTAAACTGGACTTGTGGAGTCAAATTTGTATGTGAGTTATATTTGGGAAGCAAATTCATGTTGAGTAAGTAAGTGAGTTTCTTTTTAAGAGGTTTAGAAAATCGTTTCATTCTTTGATTTTGTTGGTTTAAATTCGACTTTATTCAGGATAAAAGGGGATGCGAGCACTCGAGGCTCCAGATACATTGGTCCCATTGGTACTCTACCTTCTATCAGATTAATGTTTCCTTTTTGGGTATGTAGGCTTTTAACTATTTTCTGATTCTTATTTCCTTTTTAAATTTTGAAGGTGCACGAATTGGCAACAATGACCTCCGACTGAAACTGATGCGTAAAAGAATGTCTAAACAAATTCTGGAGACTGAAGAGAGGAAGAAGAAACAGATGCAAGCAGCGATGTCTGGAATTATTCAATCTACACGGCAGTATGAGAGGATCCGTTCCACTGACACTCCACTACCAAGAAGAGTACCTTCTGATGGCCTGAGGACAAGATCCCCAAACAGAGCTTTGAAAGATTCTAGAGAGGTTGCTTCCTCAAGGAATATCAATGAATTTCAGCGTGTACCACTAACAAGGCCAGTTGATGCCACAAGAACTGTTCGCCTGATGGGCAGTGATCCTGTCAACCCTTCAAGGAGTAATTTCCCTGCACCAACTATGCTAGGTGTTGCAAATGGAAGCGTGCCAAGATGCTCATATCCCGTATACACCCTCTTTCTGTCATTTAACTTCTATCATGAACTATGCATTTACATTTCATCCTTAACAGTTATAAACAGATTTACCTATATCTTTATTGGACAATAGATTTTTGGCTGCCTGCTTTAACTGAAATTATGATCTAATACAAAAATATTTATAGAATAATAATTACATTTTTACCTACATGCTATAGAAAATCTCAGTGATCATAAAGTTCTTGACTATTAAATTTATTGCTAGCAAACGGCTACATATGTGAGAGAATGGTGAACTACAATTTGACTTAAATTTTTTAGGTTAATTACCTTTACTGCAATTGTTCTAAGGCATACTCCCATAAAGACTTCATGCTTACGTAGTCCTAAAATATGCATATTTGGTTACTAGAGTTATGCAATATGCTTAATGATGAAGCCATGAAGGAGAAAATGCAGATTGTGTGGTTACATTTTCTTTTATAGTAGTAAGGCAGCGGAATGCATTATTGGTACATGATTGCTCTAGTTTCTTTTCTGGATCACAGAAACTGAAAGCCTTACCTCTCCAGTTTTGTTTGTTTGTTGTTTTTTTTTAAAAGAAAAACTGAGTATGTTGCTTGCTTTATATCCAATATAAAGACTTTGGATGTTGCTAGTAACTATATTCCATAAAATTTATTTGCTTCAGATTTTCAAATTATTGTTATTCTCTTCTGATACGGTCTATTGTCTTTGACCCACTTTGTACTACCATTTTGTCTTGTTGCAATATTAGCTGTAATCACGTTTCTTCTCTCTGGTGTTAATATAGGATCAAGAACCTGTCACTGTGACTGGCTTGTTGAATGCACTCGGATTGGGAAAGTATGCTATCCATTTTCAAGCTGAGGAGGTAAGTAGAAAATAGAACTCTTTCCTCAAAATACATGAGCAATGTGTTTGCCATTTTCCTTGTTATCTCTTCATGTCACTATAAGTAATTTTTTCACCATCATATTTGACATGGAGAAGATTCAATTAGGATCCGATTCATGTTTGCAAAACTAAGGGTGTGCTTTGTTCAAACATCGGAATGGGAATGGTAATGCGAATCAAATACTTGGTAATGGTAATGGTAATGGTAATGGGTTTTAGTAGGAGGAGTCACTTTGTTTGGTAGTAAATAGGAATTGGAATCAAAATTAATAATTAATTAATAAAAATAAAAATAAATAAATATATAAAAATATATAATACATATATATACACATACATATATGTGTATATCATAGTTATCATGGCGTCGCCTAGGCGACGCCTTGGCGTCCTGTCGGTGGAGACAGGACGCCTGGAGGCTTTGCCTCGCCTGAAAATGGTGAGGCGAGCTCCGGCGTCGCCTTTGCATCCCAGACGACGCCAAGGATGCCGATTCGGCGTCCAAACCCATAAACCCTACCCATTTTTAACTTTCTTTTTTAAAAAAATGGTATGAGAAGAAGAAAGCCAACCCAGTGACCCACAGCCACCGCCGTCGCCGTCCCACAGCCACCGCCGTGGGTCGCCATCGGTGCTTCTTTCTTCTCCCACCGCCGTCGTCGACTGCCATTCTTGATTTTTTTCTTCCTTTTCCTTCTTTCTTTCTTCTTGGCTTCTTTGTTCAGACTTATTTACTTTATATTTACTTTATTACTCCTAGAAAGTTGTAGCCTTGAGAAAAAGAATAGTTTTCTGCTTCTGTTTTGTAATGAAAGCTACTGCAGCTACAACTTCCTAGAATATAATAAATAAGGCTGCCTATTTCCACATATATTATATATAATTCTTCACAATATATATTCTCATATTATTATTATTATTATATTTGTATAATATATATAATATATAAAATATGCTGGCAGTAATTGTTGTATAATA